TAACATTACTCTTATGTTTTCAATAACATGAAAAAATAAAAGGACACAAATGAAAAAACAAAAATTTTTCAAAAGTTTGACTCTAGTTCACTCCCATGGCTTCCAGCCAAATAATAGACAGACATGCATATAAGGTGAACGTTTAGACCAGGTAGGTACCCTCCTTATAATAATCAACCACAAAGATCAGAAGGGCAATATTTGTACAGGAAGATAGCTCAGAGGGCAGGAATGCATAGGAAACAAGGACACAGGGAAAAGGTAACCACAAGGAAGAAGTGGGAAGAGAGCTGTTACATTGAGGGAATTGCAATCAATATCATGAAACAAAGTGTGCATGAAATACTGAATGGAAAACAAATTTGCTCTGTAAACTTTCACCCAAATCACAATGAAAAATAACTTGCAGAAGAAATTCGTAGAACACTAACTACTTTGCACAAACTATTAAATTATACAAATTAAGTGAAGGCATACATGTATGTAGGCATTAAAAAACATTCTTATTAGGTTTTATACCTATGCAAACACGACAATTATTAAAACAGTAATTTAGTGGTTAAAATGAGCTAAAACCACAAAAATTGATAATCAATTTATCTGTAGTATATAATCAATTATATTATTAGCAAACATCCACAGACTTACTCAAAATTGAGGTTCAGATTTAAGCTAGCTGAAAGTAAATTAGATCCAGATATAATTTACCTTGATATGCAAAAAAATAAATTAAAACTTACTTCATGATATATTTGGCTCTGTCTATTGTCTGAGCTTTAACTTTTACTAAAAGTGGATGACTATTATACGTTTCATTCTTCCACTGGCCATACAGACGGTATCTTAAAAAAGGATAAGATGAGGAATTAGAAAAAGTGTTAAACACTTAAAAGTTAGTACACTAGAACTAATGGTAGTTAAGTATATGAAATAGTAAGTATTTACCTATGCTGATATGGAAATGTTTTAAACATTCCCCATAGTTCTTCAGACATACAAGCATTGCAGTCCATCAAAGAAAGAGATGGAAGTAGTACCTGGTCAGTAATGCTAAGCAAACAGCTAAGGATAACTTCCTAAGAAAAGGGGAGAAAAATTATTTCAGTAAGAGGTTAATTGCCTATGCCAATTAATCCCTCCCCCAATGTAAATTTATGACAATGTTAGATAATCTGCCCATTTCTTGATCTTGTAACACACCATACTTACAATTCCCTCACACTGTCACTGTCTTTTTCACAATGCTTATTTGTATTTCTTATTGGTGTTGCTGTTGTTGTTATGTGCCGTCAAGTTGGACCCAACTCATAGCGACCCCTCCTTGGGTTTCCAAGGCAGTATCACTACGGAAGTAGATTGCCCCATC